TCAAAACTTCCCGAAAATAATGCAGAACCAACAACAGAATGATCCGAGTTCCTAGTGACGCTTTTTGGCTCTTCACAAATGCTTGAAAGTGAATATTCTCCATTAGTGCCTCATGTTGATTTGATTCTGTTGAATAATTCTCTTTAACCTTTTCCAGTGAAGTTACAGAACTGGCAATCATATGCGAAACCTTGTTTTTTGAGGAAATACTCTCCTCTATATAGCCCTCCGCTACCGTCGAACTTTTCCACTTTCCATGTAGTTTCAAGGTTTCAAAACTAGCTCCTGCTCCAACAAGAAGAGTAGAAGACGTGCGCCGCAGACAGTGGCCGGTGTAAGCTTTTGCATCATCTAATTTTAAATACTTTGCTATGATTGCTGGTACACTTCCTATTGTATTTTTACCAACAGGCTGACTCGTGCACCGACCGTTTCTGTAGGTTAGAAAAAATCTCCGCTCTTTTACCCCTGTCGGTCTTAATGCTGCGTACTGTCTTACTATATTCAGAGCATTTCAGCATTTATGTTTTTCTCCTCAACAATGGTGAAACTTTTCGACGTTGAAGTCTTAGTCTCTGGCACTTTGACAAGTAGAACAGGCCCTTTATCTTCGATATCGTCAATAGTCATTTTAACCAGCTCGTCTCTTCTCAACCCACCAAAAACGCCCATGACCAGCACTACTTTATGCAAGAGATAAATTTCATTAGGCGCATTACTCATAAAAGCTAAAACTTGCTCCCCTTCTAAAACTTTGGATTTCTTCGGAACATATCCTTTAGACTTTATTTTCAGAAATGATATCAGGCGGAGGAATTGAGCAATATTGATATTCTCATTGACTATAAACGTAGATCTAAGAATCGAATACTTGGTCCATAAAGAATTTGGGCTGAATTTCTCTGACTTAAATAGAATGAAAGAAGTATTAAATCGATGCTCTAAAATCAGAATTAATCCGATAACTTACCAATTCCTGGAAGTATGCCATTAAAACTGTTTCGTTGATATCAGCAATGGCATTTTTGTCCTTATATTAAAAATATCCCATACTCTCTGTCATATGTTGCTCTTGACTTTACAGGCAACAAATTTTCTGTAGCTTTTGCTGCACTATCTCGTATTGTTTGTGGAATTCTTTCCATTTTTCTTTTAAAAATTTGAAAACGTGAATATTGACATGACAGGATAAAATTATAATGAGGTAGGTACAGGTAGTACAGGTACAAGGTTCGTACAGGTACATGTCGAAATATGTCAATATTTTATTATACAAGCAAGTTTAACAAACTGATAAGAGAACATTGTGTTGAGTAGAAAATAAAGCATTGTATGCACCACGGGGATTTTTAGATTATAATGCCCTTCAGGCGAAAAATATCCCTCGGGCCAAAGGCCCTCGGGCTATAGTTTCGCCTTCGGGCATTATAATCTACATAATCCCCTTGGTACATAAATAGCTATTATGTCATACCAATACATTATTGTGTTTTTATACCTCAGATACCATCTACATATAATTCATTACTTTATGCCCGTGCGGGCATAAAGTACACATTATGGCCCGCGCGGGCATAAAGACGCAGAAAACAGTTTTCAATTAACTTATCCTTTAATAACAAAATATAAATTCACGCTTATAAACACATTATTTTTTTCAAAAAATGATGATGTTTGCACACTGATGACAATTTGTGACACTTTCTTCCCAGGTATTTATTATTCACAACCAACTAGTATGACATAAAAGTTTGTATGCACCACGGGTACTAATAGATATACAATATACCCTCGGGCGACTTACGAACCCTCGGGCCAGAGGCCCTCGGCTTTGTAAGACCCTCAGGGCATAATCATCTACTTAGTACCCTTGTTACATAAATAACTATTTTACCATACTGCACATGACATAAGTCGGCACGCATCGAAAAAGCTTGCAGCTTGCAACCTTCACTTCGGAGTCGGCGTGCATGCCAGCACGGAATTGAATTGTGGATGCCAACGTTAAACAACATTTTCCTAGCTTGCGTGCCGAAGTGCCACTTCGCTACTAAATTGATTGAGGATGAGCCTTCGATCAATTTGGTAGCGAAGTGGCACTTCGGCACGCGTGCTGGAAAATTGATACAAATTGATACCCATCCTCAATGCTGTCAATTTATGTGATGATAGGTAGTTTACCTTGCGTTCGGTATTTTGTTCAAAGAGCAGACCGTGCAGAGCGCAGCCGTAATCACGTGACCAGTGAGCGCACAAAGCAGCTCAGCGGGCTCGAAATTTCAATAAACGAACGTGAATGAGCTTGCACCGAGTACACTTTTTGAATAAACGAACGGTAAATTGATGCTCGGAGAACTCAGGTCCAAATACCGAACGTACGGGTAATGTACTGCGCATGACACAAGTTGTTATAAGGCCGTTTTACAGCTTGCAAGAAAACTTGAATGCCATTTATTGCATGCAAAAAAATTGCATTCAAGATTTTTTGCACGTCGTTTTACACCTTGCAATTTGACTTGTTTCTTTCTCTAACCTTATCCATACTTTTTTGTTTTTAACGTTGTGTTGTTGATGTTTGCATTTTCCAAAAATAAAAAAAGTGATTATAAGTCGATATAAAAAGAAAAAAGCAATAGCAGCAACTTTAGGCATCATAATTTGCTAAAAATTCCCCAGCTTGCACGAAAACCTTCAAGAAAAATGGCACCAAACCGATTGCATGCAATGCCATTCAAGAATCTTGCAGAAACCAATCAGATGACTCACTTCTGCGCGTGCCCTCGTTCAAGTTTCTTGCATATTGCAGAAAGAATTGCAAGCTGTAAAACGGCATCGGAAAAACTTGCAGCTTGCAAGCTTGCACTTCGAAGTCGGCGTGCATGCTAGCACGAAATTGAATTGAGGATGCCAACGTTAAACAACATTGTCCTAGCATGCGTGCCGAAGTGCCACTTCGCTACTAGATTGATTGAGGATGGGCCTTGACAGTAGAATTAGTCCAGGAGATTATTATGCATTATTTGTGTCCCAGATACTTTTGGTGACGATGGTAGATGGTCAACAAATGTTTTATCAAATAATCAAAATCAAAGTTGAAAGCAAAACTCTAAGCAAAATAATTAAAAATACGCATAAAAACATATTCAAAACAAATTTGCTTGGCCGCCACGCCATATTGAATGTTCCTTTTTGACAGATGGATTGAATTGCCTAAGGGTGCGTTTTCAGTTATCGCCGTGCGATCGTCCGACGACGCCCGGCTTCGTCAAGACTGTTCATAGTTCTAGCCGGGTAAAATTTGTCCGCGTTCACAGTTCAAGTGAAAATTCGTACGGCGAACAACTTTTTCACCCAGTAAATAGTTAGTAAAGATTTATCGCGGCTGCGCAATGTGTGTAAACTTTCAAAAGGTTCAAATGTCCAACAACAAAACAACATAAACTAACAAATAACTATTATTGACTTGGTCTAAACAGTTCAAACTGTTTTGTAAACTAAATATTTCAAAAAATGGAAAATATCTTGACCCACTCCCAATACTTTGTCGTGGATGCGGATAATCAGTCCCATTCCATCTGATATTGGAAAAATTGTATTGCTATTGCTCAGCGATTCATTAATTGTCATTCAAGAAAAAAGCAATAGGTACCCAGATCCATTTTTTTTTTACATAAAAACAATTTTAAATTATTAACTTATTATGGAGAACGAGGAACTATTTCCAGAAAGATAGGTTTGGAAGAGGTTGAAGACAAACATGAAGGCGGGGCTTGCTTTTAATGGGTTGACAACTGTGAACGACGATCAATTAGCGTGCGTCGCCTATTAAACTAACCGAGGTGAAACGTACAATTTTGGGTTGAGAACTGTGAACGCACCCTAATGGAAGAACAAAACTTAATTTTGTTTCCGTCTTTGTCTTTTACCTGCTGATAGAAAAGGTTGCCAGATCTGCGACTGCTATCAACATTTTCGCGTACTGGGGTGCGTTCGAAAACAGGTTGTTGGTGGAAAAAGGTGTACCGTGCGCAAAATACCTTTTCCTACAGCCGTGCGGAAAAATCGATTTTCCGCACTGATATGCGTGCGGAAAATGAGTTTTCCCGCACGGTGCGGTAAAACTTTTTTTTTTGACATATCAGTGCGGAAAAAGTTTTTCCGCACGGCTGTCAGTGCGGAAAAAAATTTACCGCACTGATATGTCAAAAAAAAAAAGAAAAATTTTACATTTTTTCGTCTGTAGGAAAAATATTGTACCTAACACTTGCGGAAAAATTCATTTTCTGCACTTGTTAGGTAAATAGCTATTTCCCACATTTATATTTTTTCTACGTCAATAGCCATTTATTAGTTCATTATTTTTTCATTATCGATTCATCAATATTCGTTAAATTTTTGCTTGCAGATTACAGATTACAGAATGAAAAAATATTTGTTTGTGCATGTGTGTGAACAATTTTAGGTCTGTTTCTGCAGAAATCACAAACCAGTCAGAGTGAATTTCATTGGTTGAAACTAGTTTTCTGGCTGTTTTCAACCAATGAAATTCACTCTGACTGGTTTTGTGATTTCTGTAGAAACAGACCTATTATAAGGTCTGTTTCTGCAGAAATCCCAATAACAGAAGACAAGAGGAATAAAGTTTTTTTTAATATATTTTTTTGCACTTAATTTATGAAGGGCCCCCCAAAACTTCACTAGCCCCGGGCCCCATGAAAGCTTAATCCGGCCATGATAATAGAACAAGAGCTAATGTGATGCTGTCTTAGTTTCTTTTGGTGACGATGGTACCTTAATTATTAAATCGGGCAGAAACTAGATATTTTTTTGTATTTTTTGGCCCATGTGTAGCCGCCACGCCATCTTGAATGTCACGTGGTTTGAATTGCCTTCTTCTTCACTTTACCATTCCCATTCACCCTAACATAACCTCAAAAAGTATTTAAAATCTTACCCAAGTTGTTTAATTTATTATTTATTTATTTTATTGTGAAAATAAAATGGCCCTACTGAAATCTAAGACCACTGAAATACCCCAAGATGCTGTAGTCCTCAGTGAAAAAGAAGCGGTAAAATATCAACTAGATATCATAAAAAATTGGCCTAAAACGTCTCAAGTGTAGGCTCGTTACAATAAATACAATCAACACTAAATTTATCCATTTTTCTTTTAGATTTTGCTTGAAATATGGCCCTCATATTCTGGCAGGAGCATCCTTACTAACCGGCGCCTATTACAACAACTATTTCAGGCGCAAATTTATGCTGGGCCATTACGGAAGAATGGCCACATACTTGCCTATATGCTTTGTTCCTCTGACTCTATCGGCAATATTGCATACAGAAGTGGGTTTGATTTTTGGACCCGGTTTTTTCATCTTCAGATAAACTAGAAGGACTTTTTAGCGACTAACCGTTTGTAACCATGTTTTAAACGCTAACTGAAATTAGGCCTTTTCGGAAAAGCTTATGCGATTAACCTGATCAGCAGCTGTTTGTTCTGTGTGCTGTCTTTCTTGAATGAACGCGATTGAAAAAAGACATAGTACATCAGCTGGTGATCCGGTTAATAAGATCAGCGTTTCCGAAAAGGCCTAATTTCAGTTACCGTTTATACGGTTACAAACGGTTAGTCGCTGAAAAATCCTTTTTGTATCTGCAAAATAAATTTGCCTGACAGTTTATCAGAAGGTGAATAAACCATCCCAAAATAAATTCAATCATTGATGGATTTACTTATGATATTTTAGTTGGTAGTTAAAGATGTTCTTTTAATGAAATCCTATACTTGTCCTGTTTGTTTGCAATCAAGAGCGGCAGCTTTACAAGCAATCATTGGAGGAATTTATCCTTTGATTATGGCACCTATAGGGTGCTCAGTGGTATGTTTATAGAAATTTGTATAATTAATCACTTAACAATAATTATTTTCAGTTGGCTGTAAGATATGTAACTTATGATATGCCATACATTACAGATAGCCCGAAGCAAGTTTTTAATATTTACAGTAAAATGTTAAGCAAAATACAAACAAAGACGCTGTATTGGTTTATAGCACAAGCATTCTTAGCTTCAATTATTACGCATTTTGAAGTGAAGAATTTGTTCACGATAACCACAGAGCTTAGAAAACAAGAAGAAAAAGCTTTGTGGAATTGAAACGATTTGTGAAATTATTAGTAGTTGATTTTGAAGGTTTGTATAATAGAAGTTTTGAAACATTCAGCTTTATTTTCCTCATCCAAGAAAATTCTTAGGTCTTTTGACTTTTTATAGGTGAGAGTCTAGTAGCTAAAAATTCACTGAGAAATTCAAGGGCCGAATTTATAGTCGCTCCTTGAGTTTCCTCAGACCTTAAGGAACCCTTGAATGTTTATAATTGCCATGACTAACTTGTCAAGTAGTAGCAAGTGTCCATTCTACTCACAAACTCCAAGGAAGAGTCAAGGAACAACTATAAATTCGGCCTTTAGAACATCAATGTCTGGCAAGATGACAAAAGAGTGGCATGACATATTACTAACGTATTGTTTGGCTAGCCAAACGGCGAACTGCAATAGAATTTGCTGCCTTGCCAAACTTGACGGAAACCATAATTAACAAGTTGGCGAAATATTTTTTCTTTGCTATATTTTGAAATAGAAAAAAATCCGGCAACATTACGCCCCACTTTTCTTCCCTTTTTCATCCCTACCAATTTACCACTTGCCAGACTATAAAAAACTTTGACTGATTTTTTGAGCTAAAATTGCATGGCCCTTGATCATGTCAACTGTCCTTCAGCGTCCAAACAAAAATCTCTACAAGCTCGAAACGCATCTAAAAAAATCGGTTTTTGTTGAAAATCAGAATTCTTCACGATCCAGCAATACGTTTACGGCTTAAACCTCCACTAAAGATATTGGCTGCTCCGTTTGTAATCAAGTCGAGGAACTTATCAACCTGTGCGCTGTTTACTTGATTCTGGAAGTATGTCATCTTTTATTAATTCAAAATTTGCCAAGCGTTTAGGATTCAAATCAAAAAGCACTTCAGTCAATGGTACCGGATTGGGAACAATGAAAGCTGTTGTCAATAGGGACTTTAACGCATTAGCTTTTCGACCGTTTCAACAACATAATCCAGCTTTCACAACCGATTTCCTTATTTTGTCAATAAAATTTGCGATAATTTGCCTTCATATCAACTGTCCACTGAGAGTTGGTTCCATATTGCAAATATTCGACTTGCTGATGGCGATATTTACATTCCAGGAGTAGTTGATGTGTAATTGGTTGCTGATATTTTTGGCAGTCTTTTAATCGATAGTCGAATACCTGGTTTACCAGATGAACCTGATGCAATCAATACTGTTCTGGGTTATATTTTGATGGGAAAAGTTTGGTCTGTTTCTTCAAATCCGCAAACTTCAACTATGTTTTGTCATATCGAAAATTCTAGCTCTCTAGATGATTAGATTGCCTGGTTTTGGAGGGGAGATCGATGATGTCCCAAAAGTCACTTGTCTTTCTCCTGATGAAACACAATACAAGAAGTTATTTTTAGATACCTATCAATGTGATAAGTCTGGACGGGTCATCGTCAAACGAGATCTCAACCACATGGAGCCCGTTTTCGATTTTGTACTCGACTCATTCTATCTACCACATCATTGTGTTATGCGTCCTGATAGGTCAACCACCAAACTCCGTGTTGTGTACAACGGCTCAGCTCATCTACTTAATCAATCTTCACTCAACTCGCAGCTCTATGTTGGTCCTAAACTTTAAAATGATATAGTTACAATTTTCGACTTCATAACTTTGTTCTAACCGCTGATATCTCAAAGATGTTCCGACAACTTGTTGTCCATCCTGACCATCAAGATTATCAAAGGATTCTATTATGGAGACTTTCCACTTCTGAACCGGTCAAAGAATATCGAATCAAACGATTAGTGTATGGTATAACATGGTATAACAGCCTCATTAATATTTTAGCAAAAATTTTTGAAACAATACTTTATGATGATCTTTCAGACTTTCTAAAACCTAAAATTTCTAAATACCAGCATGGATTCTTAAATGATAAGTCAACAATAACAAACCTCTCTATATTCTCGGAAATGGCGGCTGAGGCGATCGCGAATAAGAGCCAGTTGGATGTCATTTACACAGATTGTGAGAAGGCTTTTGACAGGGTGGACCATGAGTTGCTGCTTTGCAAGCTTGCTGAGTTTGGGGTGTCAGAGGATGCTTACCATCTTGTGAGGTCATACCTAATAGGCAGGGTCCAGACAGTGAGGGTCGGCGCTTGCAACTCTGAGGCGTTTGTTGCAACCTCAGGTGTCCCGCAGGGTAGTAAACTGGGCCCTCTTTTCTTTTTGTGTTTCATCAATTCATTGCCTGACTGCCTGAGGGACTCTATGGGACTTCTCTTTGCTGATGACTTCAAGCTCTGTAGGATTGTTGAGCGGCAGGAGGACTGCAGAAGGCTTCAGGGTGACATGGATAGGGTGATGGACTGGTTCAACAACAACAGAATGTCCCTAAATGTTAATAAGTGTTCTGTTGTCAGCTTTACGAGACGAACAAACCCAATAGAAGAAACATACAAGATTGGTGATACTGAGCTTGATCGTCAAACAGAGGTGAAGGATTTGGGTGTCTTTTTCCAGGCCAACATGAAGTTCAATAAGCATTTTCATCATGCTGTCAATAAAGCAGTAAAAGCACTTGGCTTTGTAATCAGGAATAGTAAGAACTTTAAAATAAGTACAATTATTAACTTGTATAATGCTCTGGTGAGACCACACCTTGAATATGCATCACACATTTGGATGCCATTGGAAGCCACGCATATTGATGAAATTGAAAAAGTGCAGAAGAGATTTTTGCGGTATCTCTATGTGGTTAAAAATAATATTTACCCATATATGGTTCCTTACAGGGATATGCTTGTTAGTTTTGAGATAAAGTCATTAGTGGAAAGAAGGAATAATCAGGCTGTGATATTTTTGTTTTATATTTTAAACAACCTAAAGTATAAGGATTGTAATTTAATTAACTATGTCTCCTTAATTGTACCAAAGATTAACTTAAGAATTATGAAAAACAAGAAATACTTTGGTACTGATCCTAGTAATAATATGTCACCATTTAATCGCATGATGACAGTTGCGAACCAAGCACTTAATGAGGTCCAGGTAGATCTTTTTAATGTAACTTTCAATCAATTGAAGGCCCTTTTAAATTAGTCATATATGTTTATATTGTGTACTCTATCTTTATTTCTGTGTTTTACACTTCGCTGTTTTAACTTTACATGTAATTACTATTTTTGGTGTTTGTAAAGTAATGAAATAAATAAATAAATAAATAAATAAAAAACATGTTCTCCATATTTGGCCATTCGAACTGTAGTATAACATACCCGGGTTCGTTTAGCAAGATTAAACGGTTTGAATTTTTATTATCTCTTCTTTTTAACAAATATTCTGAAAAACGAAATGAAAAACAAATAGGACCTATGTTGTGGAAACTTACTCAGTTTTACTTACTTGACATGCGCCTGACAAAAACAAAATTAGAGAAATTTAAGGGAAGTTGTGATATGTAAAACAAACGAAAAATTTGTGAAACGTCTAATTTATTATTAGAAAATCGTACCGTTCTGTTCTCGACCTGGAACTCACGACGGGAAAGAGTACGGCAGAGAAACCCTCGATCTAAATTCCTCAAAAATCAAAACATACTGTGTCATTTCAATAATATCATGTAATTATGAGTCAATAATTTAATTTAGGTACCGTCCCTGTCCTTGTGCTAAAATTTTAATTCCACACACTACATTCGATCAACACCACCTATATTCAATACTGATTACTGAAGAGTTTTTGGTTAGTTAGCCAGTCTGCCAGCAGGTACTGAGGTCCCGTTCGGGAGGCTACTTAAGCTATAGTTGTTGTTTTTGAGCCAATATCTCTAGACTGATGTTTTGTTTGTTAGGATATTCGCCCAGTCAGGGTAGGAAAGTGTTAGTAGATTCAACAAGGCCTTAATGCACGATCTGAATACAAAAATTGAAATCTTGTCACAAAAGACAGCACATAATTTCTTAGGTTTTAATTTACTTCTTATCTGCGTTGGTCAAAACATGAAACAATTTTTGTTAAATACCTACCCAAGCAGCGCTTTCACATCCTAACAACGTCGTCATTGATATCTTGAAGTTGAGGCGCGACGTCAAATAGACTACTATGCAACCCTCATTTTCACCAAAATGGAGAATCATTTCATGGTTGTAACGACGTCGCAGGTCGCAAGACTTTACCAATTTTTAGCTTATATGTCAGTATACACAACCAGATTTGACCGTTTACTAAACGTTAAACCATGACTAACCTAAAAAAAAATACAAAACCAAATAAAGGACGTTCCAGGTTTAATATATTGCACCACATTCGCACTTTTGGTTTATTATTGGTATTATTTTATTTCCTAACTCATCGCATTAAAAACAAAACTTCAATGAATAATCGTGATGAAAATCTCGTAACACCCGAGATGCAATAATTAAAACGGGGTATCGGTTTTGACTTCGAAAATTCGAGAATACAAAAAAAAAAAAAAAATATATATTGAATCTTTCGGTCGCGCGTGTCGCTCGCCTGATCGTTCTCGATACTGTCTGGTTCCTTTTCAAAATAGGTACTTACTTCCATGTACCTATGAAGAAGGGTTCAAAAGAGGCCATACACGTGTGGATTAGATATTATAAATTGAGATAAACTGGCTATTGACAGATATTGAAAATGAAGAAATTAGAAATTATAAAAGGAATATAAAATGTTATGCACTTCAGTTCAGGGATTGAAAGTACACTTTTAATCCCTGTTTCAAGGGAGTAAAGTGGATCTTTTAATCCCTGGGATTAAATTTCACTTTATTTCCCGGGGTTTAAATTTTTACTTTATTCCCCAGGGATTAAATTTTTACTTTATTTCCAGGAGATTAAAAGTACCCTTCTATTCTCTAGGTGTATAATGTACTATTCAATTAGTAAAATAAGAAATTGGACGACATGTCACAGAAGTGTGGACGAACCAATCATCATTGCCAAAAAAAATTTGAAATGTAAAGAGGATCGTATTGTATGTTTGTGATAACAGATTTAGCTTGTCAAAGTACGTAGGTATGCATAGGAAATATCCCTATGTAGATTTTCTTGAATATTTCGAGAAATACTAAACCGATATTGACGTTTTTGGGGTCCTTCAGACATGCGATCCTCTTTACATTTCAATTTTTTTTTTTTGCAATGATGATATCTTTAAAATATTGAAATTTGGTTGAAATTTACAAGGGCCTATTTTCAATGTCAATAGTGCCTCTATCTTAAGGAAAAAATAGAAATTTCCTTCTGATCGTTCACCTTCAAGGAGAAACCATCTAGGATTTCTTTGCCAAAACTTTGGGGAATTTTGAGGAATTTGTTAGGAATTTGGAGGAATTTGTGGAGAATTTTCCTAGATTACCACAAAAATTTCCTGACTGATGAAAATCCGTGGGAAACCTTCTTTACGCTGGCAAAACTGATCCCATTGTGACATTTTATCTGATTCCTTTTTTTAATTTGATATTTAATCATTTCAGGAGGAGATCTAAAATTGCTTTGATAAAGAATTTTTCTAAATTTTCAAATTATCATTTCAACATCTTCTGTTACTCCCAGGATTAAAAAAAAAAAAACAACAACAACAAAACATGATATAAACTTTTAAGTATATTGTTTGAAAATATCATTTGTAATAATGTATGTTTCATTTTCGAAACCCTTTTGAAGATTTCGTAAAAACGTAACACACAAAATTGCCAAACGACTTTCACAAAACATTTTGGTAAATATACTCACAATATAAACTCTTGTATGTCTGTAAAAATCATTAGAATATAACAATTTGATTTTCCTAAGTACACAATAATATAAATTAGGATATAATTTTAAAAAAAAGTAAAAACAGTGGTCCGTCACAAAAGATACATAAACAGCTAATAATAATCATTAATTAGGAAAATATTATACACAATAAAAAAGTTGTAATATGTACAAAAAATACTGGACACAATATATGGAATAATAATTTGAGTTTGAGAAAATGGAATGTGTTCAAAAAACAGCAATAATAACTACTTATTTTTGATTTCGTATTGGAACAGTAATAAAAACAGAATGGAAGAAGACAAGAGCGTTATTATAATTTTTCCTAAGAAGAAAATTGTCACTTTTATTTCCTACAATATTAATTTGGTTACATAATAATGTAAAATAACCCTAATATCTATTGTTTATTATCGAGATCTCCTAGTGTTTCTTTAGGATATAAATACGAAAATAATCTAATTCCAGAGAGTAATTTTATATACACAAAATCAAAATATGCATTTTTGTTTTAAACCAACCCTATTATTTCCGTACTTATACCAACATCATCTAAAAAACTATTTAAAATATTCTAATTTTAATTCCCTATTTATTATACATTCTTTTTCTTCAAAACACTCTACTCCACTCCTCATCTACTCCGATTGAAAATTTATCTAATATTGACTACTTTAAGCAATTAATAGTGTGTGGGACCTTCTTAATGAGATCCCCGATTCCATATTATTATTTATTATAAATAACATTTTGAATATGATAAATGATCTATTAGAACATAGAACTATGAACTACTTAAATGCCCCCTTATATTTTTGTCTGTAGGCAATTAAGTCAATAACTATTGTTAATTGATTTAGGAAGGATAATTTGAAATTAAAGTTTAGGCTGGGAAGTGACTTATTATTTATTGAATAAAAGAATCCCCAGACTAAATCAGGAAAAAATTAAAATTCTCAGTGATTTTCCAAATGAGTTCAGAAAATCACTAATTACAGTGGAATACAAAAAAGTTTTTTTAGTTACAAAATATCATGATAGAGAGCTCATCGTCTATAACAACAAAAATAGAATTCCTTCAAAGCAGGATAATTTCTAATAATATTATCCGATTGGTTACGAAACTGTTATTTTAAGTTTAAGGCTGATTTACATGTATCCAAGCTCTGGATCCAGGTAGTCTACACGAGTCCAGTCGATTGTGAGTTTACACTGCAGTATCCTACTGGCAAGAAAAATAGACACACTCTCTATTCGCTCCAGTGCTGGCGGCCAGCTACTGGATACGTGTAAATCGGCCTTGAAGCAGAAGCCTTTTACTGGCATTTGAAATTAAATGGAGCAGAAAGACAACAAACATTTTTAAGATATTTTCTTGTTGAAATTATTGAAAAAATGAGAGAAATCATTTTTGCTTTTATTCTGGAAAAGCATTGGTCCCAATTATAGAAATACCAGGTGGCCAGAAGATTATTTAGCAATCTCTAGCTTAGACATGAAATTCAATCTTTTTGCATTTTGTATTATAGGGAAGTTTGACCAGAAATTTTATATGGGTCACCCTATATATTATTACATTTTTAAATTCTACAATATTCTAGGGGACTAAAAACCCCTATTGTAATAATACTTGTGAGATTCTTAAGGGGATTAAAAGAAAAATGATTTTTCCTTAAAAAATATGTAATACTTTTGTCCTTTTTTTCGTTTGTACGCACAAATGTGATTTTTATTTATATATTAATCGAAACATTATTGCACATTTTGGTTGAGAAATTGAAAACCGCTATATTTTACCTCCTCTGAGGCATCTGAGATTTTGAAATAAAAATTATAAAAAAATATAAATATGTACAAGATATGTTTCAACAAAAAGGATCAAGGGAGGCAATAGATTTAATAGTTTTTAAGCCTCTTTCGCATTGAATTGGGACTTGTGTAGTATTTGCACGATCCTAGTTAAATCATGGTATTTTTTTTTTGTAGAAAATCGCGCATATTATTACATCAAAGTATCAATTATCCTGCTGATACAGCAGATCGTGATTGTTTCAAAAACAAACAAAAATTGCACAAGAATCCTGAAGAGATACGCTCTAACTTACCCGCGTTCATTAAAAATCCAAATTAAACGCGGCAGCGTCAGTGTCAAAAGAATTCAAAAGCTCTTGGTCTGTGAACGAGGCATTATCGGCGGTGCCGGCCAAATTATCCAAAAACTCGAAACTGAAATCGGTATTTTGCGGATTGAAACTTGCCAGCGCTCCTGCCGCGGTGTTGCCGTTCGACGTGGAATTTCCTAGCATTCCGTTACTTTGTTGCATTGGCTGTTGAAGCGACTGATTGTTGACCGATATCGATTGGGATTGTTGAATGTGGATACTCGACATGGACATCTAACAGAACAATTTTATATATAAAAATGTCCACTTTCAATAGTAATTGTTCTTACCTGAGAATTTTGTTGTTGCATCAATGACTGTTGCTGTTGCATGTGCAACATGGCTTGATTCATCGAATTCATCTGAGCCATTGGTCCGCCCTGATTGGCCATCATGTGGTTCATTCCGCCTTGAGCGCCGCCCATACTAGCTTGCTGCGCGCGCATCTGTTGCTGTTGCTGGTGTTGCAGAGCTGTCATTTGTTGCATGGAATTGCCGCCGCCCATGTTCATGTTGAAACCGCCATTATCTAAAAATTATTATGACCATAAAGACACCAAAGCACGCTCTACCTCGGTATAAAACACACAAAAAAAAAAGATGTGAAAAGGGATGATGTCATAGAAAGCATCAGTGTTATCAACACATATTTTCTACTTTAGAAATCTGTATTGCCATATTTTTGCCTTTTGTTCGATTAGTACAGTATTTTGAAATAAATATTCAGGAATTTGGTTAATCAACCTGTACCGTATTACATTTTGTTACCAGTGCACTCCTGATCAAAACACCCCAGTTAAAGTGGCGCCCAACGCTTGGGGCAAATTTAAAATCAAATTTATTTTGACTGTACTCTTGTTGACTAGATAGATTTGTAGAGTTTTCCTGTGAGTTTTTCAATTGTGGTCATAATCCATCTCACCAGCTTCACCAAGGACACCAATTTCATGCACTTACGTTCAGGTCGGATGTCGCAAAACACTGAATCTAATGAAATGGAAAATAACGAAGACAATAATGATAATTACGTTATTCAAAAAGTAGTAATGTCGCCAGAAATGTTACAAACTACTCTCATACAGAGCCTTACTATAAATCAAAATGCCAATTCAAATAATTCAGAGCGAGGTAATTTTGCCAAATGCACAACTTATATAGCAGTGATGTGAATATGTTTATGGATACCATCCTTATTTATAAAGACTGCGTGAATGTTTCTGAAAATAATGCTCTCAAGGGTTTTCTTATGCTTCTACAAGGTCAAACTGCAATATGGTGGCAAGGACTAAAATCCAGTGTTGTTACATTTGATGATGGTATATCTGCATTATAAAATGCTTTTGGACAAACAAAAACTTCCACATTAACTATATAATAAAGAGAAAACTGAAATTTTTGTAAGCCGATGTCGTGCCATTTTCTCCAAATTTCCAATTAATCACCAGGTTTCTGCAATCTGTCAGTTAGATATGGTTTATGGTCTAGTGAACTACAATATTAGAAACAGAGTTCCTCAAGAGAATGTTGATAATTTCAATGAGCCTATTCAAAATGCTTAAACTGCAGAAATCACTCTACTGGAAAAGAAAACTCACGATTCTGTTAAATCGAGCCCCCACAAAGAAGCTAAAACAGAACAGAAGAAGTCTTCATTGAAATGTGTTAATTGCAAAAATTATGGCCACATCATAGAAGACTGTAGAAAATTGATACAATTGAAACAAAACTCTAGACTGGAAAAAAACAGGTCGGCAGTCAGAAGATCCCCAAGAATAAAAAAATTTAAGTACCAAAGCTGCTGAATTCTTCTATCATTTTTCAGATGTTGATTCTCAAATTAAACCTATAGTTTCAGTCAATATTCTTGGTCATACTGGTCTTGCCTGTTTGGACACAGGAGCAAAGCGTAGCTTAGCTGGTGCTACGGTTATGAAACTTCTCTTGAAAGAAAACACTTCTTATATTCAATAACAATTATTGATTAAACTTGCAGATGCATAGAGAGGACTGTAACTTCTCTAGTTTTCAATGTTGAAATCATTCTGAATGATAAAATTATTTCAACATCACTTGTTGCCATTCCAGGAAATATAAATATAGGATATGGTCCTAGATAGACTCTCACTTCTTGGTCTACGCACAAATGTAATTGTCCTCTTGGTACCACTTTGGGGGAATAGAGTTGTTCTCAATGGACTTATAGACAAAATAAACATTAGGGTCTATAAGCCCTAAAGAATTTTTGTAAAATGTTAAATCTAAATTCATTTCTAAATAGCACTTTCTTTTTCTTTGGTAGATCTTTGGTCATAAAATATAGGGCAAAGGTAAGAATTGGAAAACATATAGAGAAAATCATTTTTAGCAGGAATTACAGTAGTAATGGTGATATGGAGAGTGGCACAGTTGCATCAAATTTTTTAGGGTAAAGTGACACAAAGAAAATAAATTTTTATAATACTCATACACCGGAGATAAAACATAAATTGTCTTTTTTCTTACTAAATTTACAATCATTGAGAAATAAGCAGGACGAATTATTTGTTTTAATTAATAATACAAATTTGCCAATGTTTGTCATGCTGAAGGAACATTGGCAAACTAATGGCAAACAGATGCCGAACTGTGTTGCCTTCCAGGATACACTTGTGTCTCGAGGTACTGTAGAGGAAAAGGCTATGGTGGCATCGCAATATTGATAAATGAGGATTGTATAAGCGATATTAATATTGAAAACATAACTTGCTATGAAAATTTAATCTCAGAAAATCACTTCGAATTTTCACTTATTTTAATTAAAAACTATAACATATATCTTTTATGTGTCAGGTAACCCATTTTTGTTTCTGGAACCACTAGAGGAACTTCTATACGGTTTTTCTTTATCATCTAAACTTGTGAGAGCAGGAGATTTGAATATAGACTATAACAATCCTGAGTCCAGGGATACAAAAGCCCTACTGGATCTTTTAAATTCATTTAACTTAAAAGTTTTCGTAAAAGAGACGACCCGTATAACAAATCATTCGGCTAAAATGATTGATTATTTTTGCAGTAACGTCGAGTCAGATGAATTTAAATGATAAAGGTGATTCCATCAGGACTGTTCGACCATGAGGCCCTAACGGCAGAGCTCCTTATAGCAAGCAACACAAATAAAAAAAGGGTAGAGAGGAGAAGGATATTTAGTAGAAAAAACTTCGAAACATTCAAAAGACTAGCAAACAGGATAGACTGGGAGCAGGGTGCTGGAGACCCACTGGAAACATTCCAAAACAATATAATAAAAATTTGTAATAAAAGTTTTCCACTGCGTAAAATCAAAAGAAAGATTAGGAAGTGTTGGGTACCACAAGGTATAAAAATATCTGGGAAAAATTTACGATCTTTACATACGATACGCAAATATACAAATAGTGAAACATTTATCATCTACTTTAACAAATATTGGTCCACATACAGAAAAGTTATCCGACAAGCTAAAAATCGTTACTATATAAATAGGGTTTCAAGGGCCGGAAATAAAACTAGAGAATACGAAATTGCGAGGAAAACAGAGCTAATTCAGCGACATCTCTGGACTCCCTACCAACTATCTAAACCCTGTGACATATGAAGATACATTCTCTTTCTCTCTAACAAATATAAGTGAAATGAAGCAGATACTGAAGGACTAAAAGAAACATAACTCTTCTGGATATGACAATATATCAGTAAAAATTGTAAAGAATTTACCAGAACAAGCATTACAGGTGTTAACATCAGCCATAAATAATTCACTGATTACAGGAGTATTTCCTAAATGTTTGAAAACATCTGTGGTGGTACCAATTTACAAGGCAGGAAACAAAAATGACCCATCGAACTATCATCCCATATCATTGTTGAGCACAATCTCGAAAATAATTGAAAAGGTTTTAAAAAAACAGCTCACATTCTTTCTGGAATCGAATAATAGCTATTTATATAATAAGTACATAAAGTAAGGCTTTATTGTAGGAATAATTTTATGGCCGAGCGAGCTTGCGAGCGAGGCTATTAAATAATGAGTCAATAAAGCCTGTTTATGTAAGCGTTTTATACAAGATTTTATGTACGATTGCGACTGGTTTTTGTTAAAAATTTAAAAAAAATTAATGAAAAAAGTAAAATTCGCATAGGTATACCTGTTTCACCTTGGCAGGTTGTCAGGACCTGTTTCACCTTGGCAGCTTGTCAGGACCTGTTTCACCTTGTCAGGTTGTCCAGGTAGGCAATAAAGTAGCACTTTATTTTACTAGTAAAATAAACTAGCACTATATTTTACTAGTACAATAAAGTGCCACTTTATTGACGCAAAACTGTTCTATAAATAGTACTTTATTGGTCAATTGGACATAAAATCATTGACAAGCATCAATTTGGATTCCAAAACAATATTGGAACAAACGACGCTATGTTTTCATTCTTGGAGCAACTTTTTCTGGGCCTAAACGATGGAGATGTGGCTGCGGCGGTGTTCTGTGATTTTTCGAAAGCATTCGACTGTGTGGATCACAGAATACTGCTGCAGAAATTGAGTCACTATAGGTTTTCGGGAGTGTGCTCGGGGTGGTTTGAGTCGTACCTTTTTTCCCAAGATAAATTTTGACATTGAAAACTTTGAAACATAAACAATAACGCTTGACCCTGATTGGTCACAAAATGAGGTGTTTCTGCAGGTTGACATCAGTTTTACAATAGCGACCAATAAACGGCATTAGCGGCATTGTTTATGTTTCAAAGTTGACAATGCCAAAATCTATCTTGGAAAAAAATAAACCATAGACAATATTCCCCTTGAACAAAAAACAACTAATAAGTTCTTGGGATTATATATAGATACACGATTAAAGTTTGATACACATATTGAACAACTAAGGGCGCGTTTGGGTTGACGCTCGGTGCACTCAGAGCTTGCACTTTTGTCTCTCTTCCGTTATTTTTGAAGCTCCGACAACGCTTGTTTGTGTTTGGTTTGACATATTTTGAAAGCTCAGAGCGAGCTCGATAAACTCCGAGTTTGTGGAGTGGGCAGCTGGAGCATGCATGCGCAGTTCAGATGTGTTTAATCTGTCTGTATAACCTAACCTATTTTCCATGATAAGATAAATAAACAATCCTGAATTTTGACATATACCTACTTATTAGGTGGATACTTTTAGCTATTTTGTTTAAATGTTAACAATCAAATAGCTAGTAAATTCTGCATAATTGTTCACTTTTAATTAAATTTTCTCGATAGTCCTCATCACTGGTATTATTGAACATATTTTTCCAAGGGAACTTGGCAGCCTCAGAGTGTTTAGGTCCGTTTTATTGTTTATGTAGCACATTTTTTGCAGAATACAAAAGAAAATGGGGCTGTTTGGAAATTATCGACTGAAATGCAAAACAAATGAGAAAACTCTGGTGCAAATGCGGGCTCGGAATCCAAAAAATATATGCTAAGAAAAATAAACAATGATCAGCTGATCGCTCAACCCAGCATTTTTGCACAAGTTTATTTGG